AATAAGGAATATAACAACATCGATGCCTTCATTCTATTGTTCCATAACCTTCAAATCAAGTGAGAGACGTTGATGCACATTTCTCTTCCAATACCCAGCCAAAAGCCTATTATAATATTCAACGAGGCTGGATGAGCCCTTCTCAAGCCCAAAGTATTGTTAACACGTCTCATAAATTCAAGTAACATTTCCAGCTCTAGAATATATATGTTTGAGATGCTTCCAAATTTGGTTAATCGTAGACATATAGAGGGATGAAGATCCGATATGAGGCTCAATAGTACTGATCCTAAGCCCAATGATTGCATTATCCTCTTGATCCTACCGATCATTAAGAGTAATATCAGCCTTTGCAGAATCACTGTCTGAGGACTTGGCATACGGCTTGTCTAAGACCACGTGGTTAAATAAACACTTACCCCTTAAGAAGACTTCGACACATCTAGCGCAGTAAGTATAATTTCTCTCATTCAATTTTCTAGGTGCCATGGGTCCAGTCAGATTGAATATTTCCATCTTGGATGACATAATATTTTATCCACTCAAACTAACTAGTACTTGGGCCGAATAAAATTAACCAATCACGAACAACAACTAGAGCCCAAAAACAATTCAGTCAGCCCAAAAAAATTAATTCAATAGCCCAAACAATTTAATTGAGAAGCCCCACTAATAAACGAATTAAATCAGCAGCTCACTATGAAACAAATAAATCTGCAACCCATTAATAAAGTCACATGTCATCTAAAATTGGCCAAACATCAATTTAGTAGCCCACTCCCACAAAATAATGCCCCAACAACAACTAAAATAAAATTTGACAGCCCACATGAATTGCTTTTCAAAGCTCAACCCAAACTTGAGAACTCTTATCCACTCACTTCTAACCTCCCCACGTCGTCTCCGTCCACTGCTGTATATTCCGACCGATCACTGCCAAAGCAAAAAAAAAAAAAACCAGCCTGCAACAAAGATTCTAAAATCTTGAAACCAACATATAACCACAACATGAATCTACCACAAGAAGCCCCATCAACCACTCAATCGACAACAACAAGAATACATCCTGGACGAAGATTGCACGTGGCGAAGTTTACACATCACATGGGATAAAGACCAAAGCAGAGGAAGAAATATTGTATAAAAAAATAACGGGCGAAAGAACAAGAAGCAGCGACATAAAGAAAAAAACCGAACTCTAGTGCTCTAATACAATGTTGAGAAAAAAAAGTTTGGTATAAAATTTGGAGACAAGGTAATTTCCTTCCTTCCCTCTACTATCATTATAAAGTGAAAATAAGAAGAGTACACTTATGGAAACTATGTAAAAGTATGGAAATACAATAAACTTATATCTTGCCCAATCTACGTGAATCTTTATTAATTTACTTCCTTAACAAGACCGTACTTAAGAAATTTTATAGTATGATGAAAGTCCAATTAAAACTCCAGTACACTTAAGTTTAAATTTGGTCAAATATAAAGGTGAACTTGTATCTCAATTGGAGTACTCCCTAATCATAGACAGTAATGTATATTACAAATGGAAAACGTCTGAATATTGTTTATGCGGTTAAGAAACTTAGTAGATTTACAAGTAATATAAATAATGACCAATGGAAGGCATAAATAGGGTTCTTAGATATCTACAATACACTTTAAATGTTGGTTTACATTATACAAGATATCCAGTTGTATTAGAAGAAGATATCAGATACAAAAGATTCAAAGTCCACTAGTGAATATGTTATTACCATTGGTGCTGCAGTTGTATCATGGAAATCTTCTAAACAAACGTGTATAGCTCGATCTACAATGAAATCTTAGTTCATAGATTTAAATAAAGTTGGAGAGAAAGTAGAATGGCTTCATAATTTTTTGGAAGACATTCCATGTTGGCCAAAACTTGTGTATACAATTAGTATGCACTTTGATAATCGGCCTGCTATCAGTAAAACATAAAGTAGTATGTATAATGATAAGTTTCGACATATTCATTGAAAACATAATACAATTAAGCAGTTGATCTCGAATGATGTTATTTTCAATGATTATGTAAAATCTAAGGAGAATCTTGCGGATCCGCTTACTAATGGAAGAACCAAGAGATCAAGTATATTGCTTGTTGAGGGGAATAGGCGTAAAGCCTACTTCGTGAGGATCTTTGTAATGATAACCCAACCATACAGACTAAAAATCCTAAAATCTTGGTTCAATGGGATAAATAAGTTATGAAAATTCAATGAACACTTACGGGTTAAACTCCTACCATTCCTATGATAAGAAAAGAGCTATCTGCTGAAGTTTAGATTAAGTTATATTTTTAATGATTCCTATATTTTGAATAAACCAAGTGGCGTAGTTAAGTACTATTAATAGGAGATCACCAATATAAGTGTGAAATGGGGTTGATTCTACGATATTGTTTTAAGGCTTTAATTCATTAAAGCACTTATAAAACCCAAGAGTTGTCAAGGCCAAAATGAATACAACAATGAAAACTAAAAAATGTTAGTGAGGTTATTGTGTGGATACTATTGTCTTGATTTACACCGACGGTTGATAATTCAAGACATTTCGTTCATTGATTAACCAAGTAAATTCAATAGTATACTACTACAGAAGATTCAAGCCCATAAGGTACCTATCCCGATGTAGTAACTTTTTGATTGATCTCTGTATTAGGGTGTGCATAATCTTTTGCATTAATATCCATTCATGTGAGGGATTATAAAAATTAATTTGAATAGTTTGTTTGATCAACTTTGAACAGTTATTTGAGTGGGTCCCGATAGTCGGATGAAAGATTTATTTGGCCAAATATGTGCATTCTACTCTGCGAGTAGATCAACGTAGTATATTTATTTTCTCAAAACCTATTTCAGTTGAATGAGAAATTAAAGCCAAAATATAACTACTTGAAGTTGAAATAAATTCGGAATAAAAATTCGCGGAAAATGCAAATACTACATAGGAAAACTAAAAGAATTGAAATCACTTTATATTGCTTAAGTTTGACACTTGGATTTGTGCCCCAAATGGGAGAACCTATATACTAGTAGGTTAGACAAAGGCCCACATGCACGCACACGTGCACCGTCGTCGTTCAGCAGGTCGACTCGACTCAACACGACATGACACGGGCGCTTGTCGTGGGTTGTGGGCTTAGGCCAAGTTGGTGTGTATATATATCTATATTTGTAAAATGATATTTGATTTATATATTTTTATTATTAAATTAAATAATATATTTAATTATATTCTTTCTTTATTTATTTTCCCAAATTTTTCTTTAAGCGACACGACATTTTCTATAACCTAACGATTTGTTTGTTAAACTATCTGTCCAGATAGATTGTGTCTGTTCAATACACAACTTTTTGAAAGATGTATTTTTGGACACAACTTTTCAACTTCTATATATAGGCCCTCATATGTTGGATTTTATTCATTCCAAATCTGATTTAGATTTTCGCTTGCAAAATAATTCTCCTTCTCTTCAAACACTATTCCGCATTTTGCATTTCAGCCACAAAAATTATTTTCTTGCATTTAAAACATTAGTAGGTTCACCATGTCTTGTAATTTTGAGTACTATTATTATAAGTCGAGATCGTTGTATTTTGGGAGACGAGTGATAAAACACTGTCGCATCAGTTCGAGACATTATCATCTGAAGAAAAAGAGTCGAACTCTTGCCTCGGCCATTGTAAATTTTGTTTTATTCAATTCATTCTGTAAGTCGAAATTCTGCATAATTATTTACTCACTATAAAAAGTTTATTTTGAATATAAATTATTGCACAGTAAATTCAACAATTTCCCAACAAAAATTGCATAGTTTATTGATGGTCGACTGAATACATATATTCTGGTATAGAAAAATTGTTATTCCATAAATAGCTAGCTTAAATATAAGTGAACAATTTTAGTCCTTCCTCTGTGAAGGTCTTCTCTCCGTCCTCAGGTGACGGTGGTTTTCCCTTCCTTTGGTATTTCCTCAGTGAAGGTTTGTGTCCTTCCTCTGTGAAGGTTTCCCCCCCTTCCCCCCTATTTTTACCTTTCCCGTTACCACTTACCCTAACCCTATTCCCTTGCGAGCTTGCCGGGGGGTGGGAGCTCCGGCTCCCACCTCTCCCTCTCCTCCATCCCTGTTTTTCCCCTCCTTTTTCCCTTTGTTTCTTCTGTTGCCTGTGGGCCGATGATTTGTGTAGGCCTGGTTGTGGGTGGTGCGGTGGTTTTGTCCGGTAGCCTGGGGTGGTTGTTTTCGCGGTGTTTTGGTCGGAGGTTTATGGCGGTCGGTGCTGGTGAAAATTTCTGCTGACGGGCTTGGCCGGAGGCCCTTTTGGCTGGGTTCCAGCGTTGGCCGGGGTTGATTTTTGGGGGTGTGATGTGTGTGTGTTGTTGGGCTGGTGGTGGTTTGGGTCGATGGGCGGTGTTTTGCGGTGGTGTTGATTTGGGTTGATGGTGGTCTGTTTTAGTTGGATTGTGTCTGTGTTGGTTTGGGTCTGATGGTGGTCTGTTTCTGTTGGTTTGTGTTGGGTGTTTAGATGGAGTGGTCATGATGTTCGTCTTTGTTTTTGTGTTGTAGGGATCTTCATTGCGGGCCATTTCCACAGCACATTTTTTTCGGTGTCTCTTGTTGTTTGGGTGGTGATGTTTGGTGGTGTATTGATGTCGTTGTTGTTTGTTTGTCTTTGTTGTTGTTTTGTTTGGCTTAGATAGCACTTAAACTCTCTCAGGAAAGCACTGTGTTGGAGGTTTATCCTCCTTGTATCTGCTTAAAGCTTCTTCTATGGAATTTCATTTCATTTCAAAAAAAAAAAAAATATAAGTGAACAGAAAATGATACATTCGATCTAATACGTACATAGTGTCATAATTGAGAATTTCTGAAGTCCCAATGAATGGAACCCCATAAACAAGCTATGGGAAAAGAAATCTTGAGGTACAAAGTACTCCTAAATTCGTGACTGTCCTACACTAATATGTGTCGATGTTCACAACCCGAGTTGGAAAGGTGCACCGGTGTTCTTCAACCATTGGAAACCAGAAAGGAATTGGCCAGGAGTGTATTTGGCAACTTCGCCTCCATTGAGAACTTTGAATTTTTTGAATTCTTTACTTCTTTTACTGGTGTTGGATCCTGGGCCGCGGTTTGCAAACTCATAGAACTCACAAGTTTGATGGTAGCTTGCGCCGTCCCATTTCATATAGCCCTCAGGGCGGATCAAATCACCCAACTCGCTTTGCATGGTGACGGTAAGGGCGTATGCCTTCCATGGGCGCGCGAGGTAGGTGGGAATTTGGAATCTCAATGGGAAGAGTTCCTTTTCTGGAACTATCCTGCAGTTCTGTAGGACCAATCCATTGGTACCCCTAGCCACTTCTCTTCCATCAGCAGTAATGGTGTTTTGTTGATTGGCATTTGGCTTCCTCACTATGATCAAACTGTTTTGAATAACTGCATCGCCCATGCCAAAGATGAAGTCGACTGTACCAGAAATGACACAGTTTCTGTAAAATTGACGGAAGGCGTGATAGTACAATGTATCTTGGTAGCCCTCAATGCTGCAGTCGAATATAGCGGACATATCAGATTGGACACGAAGAGCCACAGCTTGGTGGCCATCTGGACCAGCATCGTTGCGGAATGTCAATCCCCTAGCGATGAATCCATTTCCGACAGCAGCTGCATATAATTGTATTTTCGTTATCATTGATTATCATTTACCATCCTGTCATGACTAGTGACAGCAAAGAAAAAGACGAAGGATCTATATTTCAACTTACAGAATGTGGCAGTTTTCATTGTGCCAATCTTCATGATTCCATAGTTTCTCTTCCCTGTGATAATGCTTTTCCCTGGGCCATCACCGTAAATGAAAACATTGGTCTGCTTCTTGTTCACGGTGATGAACTCTTCATAGACACCTGCTTTGACGTAAATGGTGTATCTGCCTTTGAAGTTCTTGGGGTAAGCTGCAATAGCATCTGCAACTGTCTTGAATTGTCCACTACCATCCTTGGCGACAACTGCATTAGGTGCGACACTGCCTTTCTGGTGTGCTTCCATCAACTTACGATCTGCAGCACTGAACCAAGTTGGGTATCCATCTTCGCCAATCTCGCCCACATCAAGCAAACGACGACGGTTAGCCTGCAGATTTATCGGCACATTAAATGTCTTTAGGACTTGAGAAAGCTCAGCAATTATGTTAATGGCATTGTGAGTAAGCTGAGTAGCATTTATCATGCCATTCTCAATGGCTGATTTGTACTCGGGCTTTTGAATTTGATCGAGGCACGACGACTGAAGGGAATAAACAGCTGTCATCCAACTCCGAAGCTCATTTGCACGATCTTGGATGGTATGCATATCACTTTCACCTACGCTAGAATACGATGCCTGAAGTGTATCAATGGCATCATCTAACAAGTCCTTACAGTCTTCGACTGCCATGTGATCATAAGGATCATCATCCTTGTTAACAGCAGTCTTTCCGGTGACTTCAAATGATTTCTTCACCTCGTCTAGAGTGGCCTGAATTACTGCCATGATGTAGTCCTTCGGGGTGGCTGTTTGATTATTTGATACAGATTCGAGGCTCCTAACGCAGGCATCCTTGTACGAGGTAGGAGCACAAATGGTGGTAACAGCCTTCATTGAGGCTGACATATTATGTTGGTCATTGTCGGGAGAATCACTGCGGTGCACAACTGCCACCATGCCGATGACAACACCGACCACAAGAACCAACGATACAGCTGAGATGGCAACTTTTCCAACCATTTTTTTATTTAAATTTCTCCTCTCCTTTTATTCAATTTTTTTTCTCTCTCTCTTAGCCCTGACAACTTCTACTTAATTGTCAGGACGATGTTGCAGACAATGAATAATTAAAGTTGTGGATAGGGTTTATATAGATGCTAATTCAACATGGAAATGGCTGATGATGAATGGCTTATCGACATTTGAGCTTCATTTATGGTTCAGGGGAAAGTCAGATATATTAGTGGAAGATAGTTGATGAGCTACCTAAACATGCGCTAATTTCAAATAATTCGAAGGAAATAAAATCCACCAATTAATCTACTTGTACAAAATATGTTGACAAAATGAATGTGGCAAAATCTAGGCCATTGATTTCAAAAACTTTTTTTTGAAATCATTAGCCTAGATCTTGTCAAACACATTTTGTAAGCCAATTTTGTCAACCTATTTTATACACATAGCTAGCCCGATTCTCCATCCGCAGGCTTAAATAACTCGAAGAAACTTAGCCCCTGACCGGTTTAGTTAAAATTATTGGGAAAAAAGAAATTAAGTTAAAATTAACAATTATTTTTAATCACTTATTTCATGGGAACTTCATCTTTTATCAACTTTTCAATAACATATTTCTTCAATTTTCATCAAAATTTACTAAAAAATTAATTCTTAGCAAAATCAAACACGGCTTAGTTTTAAAACATCACAACATTTTTTATTTCAAACTATATAAATAAACTACTCAAAAGGAATACAATCTGCAGAATTAATTAGATTAAAGAAGCTTGTATGTTGATATTTATTATTGAATGGTAATTACTAAGTTCAGAAACCCAACCCAAATCCTGATGGAGTAATCGAGTTTGTGGTTCAACCATCGGGTCACTAGTTGAAGGATGGATCATTACTAAGAGGGTGTTTGACACCCATTTTTTAGAGAATAGAATATTTGGAATAGTGATTGATGGGGGAATGTGTGGTAGAAAAATTATGAAATTTTTTAGATTTGTGTGTAATATTATTTTATTGGGAAAAATGTGTGGTTAAAATGAAAAATGAGAAAAAAAGAGAATGAGATGAAAATTGGTGTCAAACAGGGGCTAAGTTGAATTAGGGAATCCATCTGAGAGAGTTTTGGTGGAGGGTACACCTCTCTATTCACAAGATTAGTAAGATCATGGTTCTTCTGAAAGATCATTGTTGTGGTTTGACTCAAATTTTAGTGGATACAATAGAAACTGGAACACCGTGAAGTCGTATAATCTCTCTGACATAAATCTGTGCGAACTGTTCTGAGTTATAAGTTGTCCGAACTGGTAGGAAATGAGCAGATTTTGTCAATCGATCCACAATCACCCAGATTGCATCATGACCTCACACTGATCTAGGAAAACCAACAACAAAATCCATTGCAATCTTCTCCCATTTCCATTCGGGTATGTCCATGGGGTTCTCCCATTGCAATCTTCTCCCATTTCCATTCGAGTACGTCCATGGTCTATTGAAAAACCATGCATTTGGATACAGATAGAGTTATCTTTCCCTTCATATTTCTCCACCAAAATGTGTTGCACAAATCTTTATACATATTGGTTCCGCCTAGGTGTGCGGCATAAGGTGCAGAATGAGCATCAGTCATAATCTCATTCATCAATACCTCATCCTTCGGTACACACAGTCGGCCTTTAAATTTCAGGACTTTATCTTCGACTATTTCAAATAATTTCTTCTTCTCAATTCCCACCTTAACCCTGATCTTTTCTAAAAATGGGTCATCTTTTTGAGCAGCTACTATTCTATCCCTGAGTGTTGATTTCACAATAAGACTTGCCAACATTGATGGTGTCCTTACTGGTGGAGTAAATACTTCAATTCTCCGGTTCTCAAAATCTCTAATTAAATTATTCTGCCTTGTACACAGTGCTGACAAATGTCTCATGTTTTTTCTACTCAACGCATCAGCGACTACATTAGCCCTACCTGAATGGTACAAAATAGTACTGTCATAATCCTTCACTAATTCTAACCACCGTCGCTGTCTCATATTCAACTCCTTCTAGGTGAAAAAGTATTTGAGACTCTTGTTGTCGGTGTAGATCTCACACTTGCTCCCATATAGATAGTGCCGCCAGATCTTCAAGACGTGCACTATCTTTCCCTTCATATTTCTCCACCAAAATGTGTTGCGCAAAGCTTTATACATTTTGGTTCCGCCTAGGTGTGCGGCATAAGGAGCAGAATGAGCCTCAGTCATAATCTCATTCATCAATACCTCATCCTTTGGTACACACAGTCGGCCTTTAAATTTCAAGACTTTATCTTCGACTATTTCAAATAATTTCTTCTTCTCAATTCCCACCTCAACCCTGATCTTTTCTAAAAATGGGTTATCTTTCTGAGCAGCTACTATTCTATCCCTGAGTGTTGATTTCACAATAAGACTTGCCAACATTGATGGTGTCCTTACTGGTGGAGTAAATACTTCAATTCTCAGGTTCTCAAAATCTCTAATTAAATGATTCTACCTTGTACACAGTGCTAACAAATGTCCCATGTTTTTTCTACTCAACGCATCAGTGACTACATTAGCCCTACCCGAATGGTACAAAATAGTACTGTCATAATCCTTCACTAATTCTAACCACCATCGCTGTCTCATATTCAACTCCTTCTAGGTGAAAAAGTATTTGAGACTCTTGTTGTCGGTGTAGATCTCACACTTGCTCCCATATAGGCAGTGCTGCCAAATCTTCAAGACGTGCACTACCGCTGCAAGTTCAAGGTCATGAGTAGGGGTGGGTAAAACCCAAACCAACCCACCTAAACCGCCCAACCCGACCCAAATCGACCGGTTTGGGTAGGTTTTTTGTGAATTTTCAGTCGGGTTCGGGTTTTTGGGTTAAGAGTTGGGTTGGGTTGGGTCGGTTCATGGGTTGACTCGTGAAAACCGAGTTAACCCAACCCAAACCGACCCACTCAATTAAAAAAAAAACTAAAAATAAACGTGAGAACTGACTACTGAGAACCCCAGTCCAAACTCTAACTTTATTCTTCCAACCTTCGAAGTTCCAACTCTCTCCCTCTCTCACGTCGTCTCTTACAAATTCACAATGAGTCATCTTCCTTCCACTCTCTTTTCGAACCCTTCTGGCAATGGAGCTCTCCTAGCCTTTGTACCTCTTTGGCTCACTTTTTTTTACACTGTTGGAGCATTCAGTTTGTGGGGTGGGGGCTTTCTTTTATCAATGGGGTCAGTGGGGTGTCATTGATTATTGTGGTGGCTTATGTTATTCATCTTGCATCAAGGATTTCTGGTTTCACCACTTATTGGGTAATATTCTATACACAAGTCAGATCTTGTCCTCGATTTTACCTACGTTTTATTAATTAATTCTGGCTTCAATTTTTTAATCAAATATTTGATAAATGCACAATTTCCATCTTGAAAAATTCACTAAAAGTTAGGTGAAGTTCTTAAGTTTCTTTTCTGAATAAGAAAATATTGATGGGTAGATTTGTCGCCCATCTTGATGATCAAGCTCTGATCTAACTTTTATTTGTTGGAACTGATTGGTCGACACCATCTTGAACTACCTATACGATTTTAGTAATTTTAAATTTTTATCTTCAATAAGTGATTTACGTTAGTTGAACTAATAAAAGCGATAGTGGTCTAATTGAAACAAAACTGAAGCTTGACCAAGATGATTGAGTTTGTTTCTGTGTTGAAAAGGTTGGTCCAAGGTTGAAAACCGAACTAATATTTTGCTGATGCTTGCTGGCACCTGATTGCTATGGATGGGGATGGTCAGGCTTCAATGGTGGAGCTCCTTAGTTTGAAATGAGAAATAAAATGGGAATTGGATTTTTATGGTGGGGATTGCAATGCTTACACTAAAGGTATATTATCTTAGCCTTTTCGACTCTAAAGTAGAGGCTGCAAGGTCCTAATGTCAAGGAAAGTATGCCATCATTTTTCCCATGTTCCCATTTTCCGTTATCCAATTCGTTTTTCTGTTTTGATTTTCTGTAAACATAGGGCTTACGACAAGGTGGTCATCCAATTCCAGTATAATGAAAGGGATGCCGTTACTAACTTTGAGTCGAGTAAATTTGATGGGGAAAATATACCAGAGCCACGGATTGAAGGTACAGTTCGATATAATTTCTCTGTTGCACTGGGTTTGCATTTTATATTTGAAAGAGTTTGTTCGTTATACAATACAAACTACGCAGGTAGCCAACATGATCGTGAGATGTCCCAAACCGACCAACCCAACCCAACCTAACCGACATTTAGTTGGATTGGGTTTCAATTTTTACATGAGTTGGGTTGGGTTGAATTTCAATCAAACCGACCATGTTGGGTTGGGTTGGGTTTGGGTTAGGACAAAAACCGACCCAACCCAACCGACATTTAGTTGGGTTGGGTTTCAATTTTTACATGAGTTGGGTTGGGTTGAATTTCAATCAAACTGACCATGTTGGGTTGGGTTTGGGTTGGGACAAAAACCGACCCAACCCAACCCACGCCCACCCCTAGTCATGAGTAGTGTAATTCTGTTCATATTGTTTCAATTGCCTCGAAGCATAAGTTATCACATTCCCATGTTGCATCAAGACACGTCCTAAATCAAGTATAGATGCATCACTATAAATTACAAAGCCTTCTGAACCATCAGGAATAGTCAACATTGGTGTAGATACTAGCCTGTCCTTTAACTCTTGAAAACTTTGCTCGCATTTCTCTGACCATACAAACTTAATACCTTTCCGAGTGAACTGTGTCATAGGACTCGAGATCTTGGAAAATCCTTCTATAAATCGTCGATAATAGCCGGCTAAACCTTGAAAACTCCTCACTTCACCACATTTTTAGATTTTGGTCAATTGGTCACAGCTTCAACTTTGGATTGTTCCACCTCAATTCCTTGTGCTGAAACAGTATGGCCTAGAAATCCCACTCGGTCTGAACAAAATTCACATATCTTGAAT